AAAGGATAATGTCCTTTATCACAGACTTTTGATTGCCTTTCACAGCTTTTGGCCTGGGTTATCGATGGGACTGCTTCTCTTTGCTCACTCCACTGACTGAACTGTGGCACGCCATTGTTTGTTGTTGATGTTGTGGTTGTCGCCAATCGAGACGCTGATGAATTTCTTCTCGTGCTTGGAAATAGATGGGCAAGTGTGTCATTAACGTCTTCTGCACTACTTTCACGTTGACTTGCTGCTCTGGTTTGTTCCCTTAGGCCATCGACAAGGCTAGATAAGCTGTCAACGAGGTCCTTGTGAGAGGCCATGTTCAGACGCTACCTTCGCTAACTCTCACTTTCCCGCGCTGGGCTGTGGGGATCGCCAGGAGCTAAAAGGGTGCACCTGCTGACCAAATAGCCAGAGGGCTCAACCACATGACGAGCGGCTGGCAAAAAAAGCGGGAAAGTCAGGGGTATTGTGTGACAAGTTTCATATATCGTTACAAGTTTTACTTTTTAACAAATTTTATCTATACTTATATTTTCAGCGAGAATATTTGTAACAAGTTTTATATAACCATGACTTTTATTTATAGAAAGACAAGTTTATATTTGCAACGTTTTATAAATTGTATGACAAGTTTTGTATTTTAAGAAGTTTGATATATTATGTAACAAGTTTTATATTTTAACAAGTTTTGTATATTTTGCAACAAGTTTTAATTGTGCACTATAACCTTAATACTAAAACTAAGAAGTTTTATTCATGAAGTAAAATGTTTATATCTTTAACGTAAAGGTTTACACATGGTAAGAAGTATTTTTGATAAAAATGGCATTCCATAGCTTAGGGACTGGTCATTATTTATTGGGGGGAGGGGCTGGTGCAATGTAAAATATGCCATGCTTGATTTTTGCTGATCCCCCTTTTACTTTAACATGAGTTTTGCTGACCCTCCCCCCATCCACTCTTGTCCTCCAGCATGCATGAAACAAAACCCAGGTGATTCGGGAGTCAACATTAGCCAATCATCTTTGAGTATAATTTTATTTTAAAGCCACACACAATTCTTTGCGCGCCTAGAGCTTGTTCGTACGAACCCAGGCACGAACCTGCAGCATTGTCGCGGGTGGTACTGTTGTTTACATTCGGAGGCTTTTCCAGAGAAAGATTTGGCAGAGAGCAGAGTTAAGATTGACAACTGAGTCTTTTAATAACTGTTGACTTGTTAAAACGAAGAGCTAGAGAAGGATTGGATCTTACGGTACTCAATCCTACGACAGATGAGTGAGAGTTTTAATTGATCGACTTCTGTACTATGCCGTCAAATCCTGGACAAAATCGTCGTCTCGTCTCGTCACAAATTCATGCCGTCACGTCTTCTTCTCATCTCGCCAATTCATCGAGTCAGCTCGTCGTCTTGTCAAGATATCTCGTTGAGTCATCGAGTCATCTCGTTGTGTCGTCTATATTACTTACAAGTCCCTTACTCGTATGTTCTTCAGTGATTCTTCAACTCGTCGTGTCGCACTTTAACTCACCGCTCTCTATATCCATGTATCTTAGCCCATCGTCTGGACACGTGGTCTCGTTACAAGTAAAGCCGAGTGGCCCCAGGGATGAGAATAAGAGGAGACCTGGACACCAAAGACAGGACAAGCATACTGTGCAAGCTCACGTGTTACCCGTGCTTCGAAAGATGGACGAAGTAAACGTCGTGAAAGATATTCTTAGAGACGCCTTATCTAGAATAGATTAGATCCCTTCACAATCTTCTCAGTCTCAGTCTGGTAATCCTTCTCAACAGCAAAATCTTCCAGTCTCGACTAACAACGATAGCCTGTTATCCAGAGCTCAAAATAACTTTAGGTAAATAACCTGAAATTATAGTTTGTTCATGGTTCAGTTAAGCCTCCTCCGCAGGCATTTATACTTTCCTGTTTTAGAGAACGATCAGTGTAACTGTTGCAAAATGAGGTGCCTGCGGAGGAGGCTAGGTTCAGTTGTCAGTTTCCTTTTACTCTTGCATGCGTAGATCTATCGAGAACAAGTTCTAATCATAAACATTTACGTCAAAACGACCTGAAAACATACACATCATGCACTAATTTATTTTATAACAAAGTTCAGATATAACACGCAAGTAGTCTACTAGGGTCAAACTTAACCCCGTTGGTGCCTTCCCTTGTCTTCCATATGCCTTCCCTTAATTGATATGCGTAAGCCTATGACGTCACCTCGGAAAGAAGTGTCTTCCTGCATACTAATTTGGATTAGGTTTACTAATGAGCGTCACTCTACTACAATAGGAACAATAGGCTTGCCTAGACTTGCCCGGGCTCTTTTAACCCTGATTAGATGGTAAACAATCTATTATGTGTTCAACATAAAAGCGCGCTCTCGGTTCAGCATTTTATTCTTGCAATCGCTTTGTTAAGGAGAACATTTGTCCGAGTTCGCTCGTTTTGAGAAAACCTTTATTTACTTTTTGAACATCATGGCTTTCATTACCAACGTTCGCGAATTTCAAGCTCCCTTGGATGGTTGTTCCTCGACCCACGATTGGGAATTATTGCTGGAATCTATTTTGATACGCGATGAGTGGATCCCAATGGCGTATGCTCGGCTGTCGGAACTCACAGCCCAAGAGATACCGGTAACTATTCTATTTTGTGTCTGAGTTCTTTCCTGATGACGGTTTACGTTTAATCTGTACGTTACCGAAGCGAGTTTATATTAATCTTTACTTAACGTTCTACTCCACAGATTGAAATCAATCAGGACACGGGTAGTGATGAAGTCAACGATCTACTGAGCGATTCGGTAAGTTTTCCAATATGTTATGTCACGAAGTGTAAAAAGTTCACGCATCATTTATGTTCGTTATGTTAATAGCTCGATTTGCGTTAGATTTGCATTTGATCTATTAAACTAAATCGCGTATCTTTTGTTATCCTCGTTTAAGAAACAAAAGGACTCCAAACTCGATTTGCTTCAACTTTTTGTAGACAGTTGTCGTATAATACTCATCGAATATGTTTCCTTGCTGTACAGTTTACGAATGCTGACCTTCGAGAAATTGAGGAGATGGAACGTATGGCGCTAGATAAGGTAACTCCATTTCCTTTTCAATACGCAACGTACATGAATTGTTTAGTGATGAAACAACATTACGAATCTCCTTATTCGTTCAATGCCCACCTATTTCTTTAAAATGAGCGAGATTTCAAAACCTAAAGTAATCTGATTTCTTCTCTTCTTATCTAGAATAACAACGAGTCGGCACCGTTATCAGCGCAAGATACACGGGATAATTTTTTTGATGAGGTAAGCATTCATGATCATAAAATTATTTTTCTTTCACGGAATTAAGTTTGCACTATTAATTGTTCAATCACTCATGTGTATATTTCTGTTGTTCATTTTCAGTGGACTGGCGAAACCAGTGAATTACCCACTTGGAACCCGTCGGAAACCGTAAGTCATCTTTCATGTTTACTTGTTTAGAATACGCTGAATGCAAACGTTCCCATTTAAGTTTTTTGAAAATTAAATTGTTTAGGCTCACCCAAAAAGACAATATCATTCATTCCTAAGAGTCAGAAGAAAATAAAAGTTGGCTTACTATTTATGATTTTGAAGGCGTAAATAGTTTATTCTCAGTTATCAATTCTGCTCTTCACTGATGAAACATTGTCTTCTCCTAAAGTGAATTCGTTTTTGCGGATGAATGCAGCCATATTGAAATCTATTCTATTGTTTTGTTGAAAATCAAAACAAAGCATTTGCTCAATGTACTAATATTCTTCAATCATCAAGCCGAGTTGAAGAAAATAGACAGCGTATTATATATACTCAAACAGGTATCAGAGCAATTTAAGCTATTTCCACTAAGCAGCTGATTATAGCAATATAGCAGAGTTATAATATTACCTGCGTGCTTATCTCTGAAAGTCAATTATGTCGTGGATCGACACATAAAATTTAAATTTATTCTGTTGATTCAACATCAAAAACAAACCATCTACCCAGTTGTTGAGACGCTCATTGTAGACAAATACAGTTTATCAGAGTTTCTTGTTAGTTGAGCTTTACACTAAGACCAGGTCATATTTACTAATTATAGAAAATTCAATCCGGGGATGGTCACCCTCCACCAGCCAAAAAACCTCGTAAAGAATATCGTTGTGACACCTGCGACAAGACCTTCTCTCGCCCCAATCATCTAATTACTCACCAGCGAACCCATACTGGGGTGAAACCGTACGAGTGCAACCGCTGTGATAAGAAGTTTGCCAACAAATCGGTACTTAATCGTCACCTGAAAGCGCACGACAAACAAGCTGCCGAACGGACGTTTACTTGTGCAACCTGTGGCGAAACCTTTCACAACCGCGCCCCTTACAACGCTCATATTCACACCGCTCATCAACAACCCGCCGCTGCAACTAGAAAACGCACTGCTCAAAAAACTACAGATGCTCCGTCCGCGAAAAGATCTAAGAGGTCGGACCAAGCAAGTGCGAGAACAGCGTCAGAACAACCAACTCCCACTCAAGCATCTGCTGCTGGTTCCAGTTGGGAAGCGGATCCCGTGCTTATTCCCGCCAACCTTGTTCCTGCTACAGAACAGAATATAGCAGAAACGTACAGACAACACTGGCCTCAAATCCGGACCCGATTTAGTCGCAAAAACTGACTACAAGATTGGTATAATTTCCGCCTGTCCACCATCAGTCCTTCAAGCCTCCAAGAACAACTGAACCGCATTTTTGCTGATCAGCCTACTGTGTTTAAAGTGAACTTTTCCTTTGGTTTTATTCTCCGTAATACAGAGACTGGGGCCCTCCAGTATCATCATCCATCCGCAAACAACCATTTGATGCTAGAACAACCGTTCCTGATTTCAAGTCCAGACGATTTAGAGCGCCTATGTCAGCAGATAGCGGAGATCGATTTCCTGGAGTGGGTGCGGCAGCAGCGACCTAACAGTAAATGGGTGGTGGATCTCATCACGAATGTTACCTGGTTTGTTTGGAAGATTCGAGACCACCCGATCGGCCGTGGCAAATATCTACCAAGTTATATCACCGACAACTACGGTCTTGACGCGCTGGAAAATAATGCGAAAACGGGTAAACCGTACGAAGATAATCTGTTTCTTCCGCTGTCTGGCTCTCCACAATGGTTGCCATACTAAGAACCTAGAAAGAGATACCAAGTACCATTACCAACAGTATCGAGAAGCTGGTCTCGCTAAAAAGAAATTTCATGGTGTCAAGATAAGTGAACTAGACTATCTAGAAAAATTGTATGAACTGAATATTCAAGTATACAGTCTCGCGCCTACTCAGAGCCACAGTGAAGACGAAGACAATGAAGAAAATACTCCCGACATTGCCGCCACCCTGCTTTGCCACTCTCACCGCCACTACTCCAGCACGTTTTACTTGAACTTGTACGAAAACCATTTCTCGTATCTTAAAGACCTGGTCCGGTACAGTAAATCCTTCTGCTGTTCAAGATGTGGCAAGTACTGGAAGAAATCGTCCAGACTGAATAGACACGAAAAGACCTGTGACGGCAAAGTCCAGCTCAAGTACCCAGGCGGAGCTTACCATGTCCCTAGAACTATCTTTGAAGAATTAGAAGACGAAGGTATTGTCGTTCCTGAAGAAGCCCGCTATTTTCCTTACAGAGCCACCTTCGATTTTGAATGTTACTTTGACAAGAAGAAAGCTCAAGAATTAAAGAACACTGAAAAGTTAACCTGGCAATCCGCCCATGTGCCCTTAAGTGTGAGTGTATGCAGGAACGTGCCTGGTTACCAAACACCTAAATGTTTCGTGTCAGAGGGAGATTCAGACCTACTTCTTAAAGAGTTTGTGCAGTACCTCACCACGATTAGCACCAAAAGTTCATCCCTGCTCCGCCAAAGGTACGCAGAAGTATTTGAAGCTCTTGAAACCGCAAGAGGCCCGAATAACAGTGAATCCCACGAATTAGCGCAAATTCTGGTAGACATACAGGAGGGCAGTCAGAATTACAATGAAGTTGACAGTGAAGAAGAGAGCGAAGATCAAAGTAGCGACACTGATTTAATGGCAAGTGATAATGAAGAAGATGAAGAAGAAGAAATTGAACCGGAGAATGAAGAAGACCGCGCTTTTCTCGATGATGAAATACAAGAACAAGAAGACGTCTCCTTTTATAGAAGATTGGACGTTGAAGTGGACAGAGAAAGAAGACAGCAACTGAGACAGACGCGGGACCAGTTAGAAGAGTTACAAGATATTGTAGGTGGTTCAGAGGACGTCAGTGACCACAAAGTCCTCAGTCAACTAGAGGAGAAACTGAACGCCTATACACAAGAACTCCCAGTGTTGGGTTTCAATTCCGGAAAGTACGACCTGAATGCCTCCAAAAAATTCCTGTTCCCGTACCTCATCAAGCATCAGCCCATCAAGTTTACTGTGAAAAGGAATAATAATCATATGTGTATCAAGACAGACTCTTTAAAGTTTCTGGACATCTCTAATTATCTCGCTCCAGGGTTCAGCTACGATCAGTTCCTGAAAGCGTATGAGTGCGAACAGACCAAGGGATTCTTCCCATACCAATGGCTAGACTGTTTGGATAAATTAGAAGAAACATCGCTGCCCCCTCACGCTGCCTTCTACTCAAGTCTGAAGAACGCTAACATCACGGGTGAAGAGTACCGATACTGCCAGCAAGTATGGGAAGACAATGAAATGTCCACCTTTAAAGATTTCTTGGTTTGGTACAATAACCTGGATGTAGTACCTTTCCTTGAGGCAGTAGAGAAAATGAGTCAATTCTGGCAAGAGAGAAAGATTGAAATGTTTAAAGATGGGATTTCTGTGCCTGGTCTCACCCTCAAGTACCTCTTCTCATACCTCTCACCTCAAACGTACTTCAGTCTCTTCGATCAAGCGAACAGTGACCTCTATCACTTGATCAAAGACAACAACACGGGCGGCCCCTCAATCATCTTCCACCGATATCATGAAGCCGGCAAAACAAAGATCAGAGAAGCAGAGGAAGGCGAGGCTGCTAAGCTTTGTGAAAAGATCGTGGGCTATGACGCGAATGCTTTGTACCTCTGGGCTATTATGCAGAGCATGCCAACGGGAAGTTACACGCGACGCCTAGCAGAGAATGAGTTCAAACCGAAAAGTTCTGTATTCATTGCTATTGAATGGTTGGAATGGGTGGCGCACAAAGAGGGAATTCACATCTGACATCAGTTAAACAATACAGAAAAGCGCATCGGTGGTCGTAAACTTCCCGTCAACGGTTTCAATGCGCAAACGCAAACTGTGTACCAGTTTCACGGCTGCTATTGGCATGGCCATGACTGTGCTCTCAACCGCGGAAAAGAGTTTAACGTGAAACGAAACAAACCTATGACAGAACTGCTGGAAGAAACTAGAGCCAACACCGAGTATATTCGAAGCAAAGGCTACCGTGTCGTGGAGATGTGGGAATGTGAATGGCGCCGGATGAAGAAAGCGAATCGTGAATTACAGCGATTTATTGCCACCGAAGTAAGAAGAACCCTCGACAAAGTCAAGATCATGAGCCCGGAGTGAATATTGAGCGAGGTGCGAAATGAGCGTTTGTTTGGGTGCGTGGAAGTAGATATTCATGTGCCTGAGCATTTGAAAGAGAAATTCAGTGAAATGTGCCCGATCTTCAAGAACACAGAAATCAGCCGCGACGATATTGGAGACTTCATGAAAGCGTATGCAGAAGAGCATAACATCATGGCTCAGCCTCGGCGAAGCTTGATCGGGAGCATGAAAGGAGAAAAAATCTTGTTGGCCACACCCTCCTCAAATGGTACTTAGAACACGGCCTGGAAGTCACCAAAGTCTACCAAGTGGTTGAATTCACCCCTGAGCCCTGCTTCAAACCCTTTGGAGATGCGGTGTCAGACGCGAGGAGAGCCGGAGATGCGGACCCCAGTAAAACCATCATTGCAGATACCACGAAACTGGTAAGTTTTTGTTTCATTTTTTCATTCTTAAAGGGGTGGGAACAATGTACATTTTCACGAATAGAAAAAACTTATATCTTTGTTTATCTCTCAGGTGGGCAATTCAGGCTATGGTAAGACGATCACTAACCAACTGAAACACAGAAACGTGGAGTATTGCAGTGATGCAGAGGCCAGCCGAAAAGTCAACACCCCACTGTTCCGGAAACTGGATAATATCACAGAAGATAATTATGAAGTAGAGTCTTGTAAGAAAACTATTAAGTTAAACTTACCTATTCAAGTCGGGTTTTTTGTGTATCAGTATGCTAAGTTACGCATGGTGCAGTTTTATTGTTATTTCTTAGACAAGTATCTCGATCGCAGAGGTTTTCAAATGTGTGAAATGGATACGGATTCAGCGTATATCGCTATTGCTGGGGAGAGTGTGGAAAGTTTAGTCAAACCAGAATTGAAAGCAGAGTTCGAAGCCGATAAATGAAACTGGTTTCCCCGTACGGATACACCCGAGCATAAAGCCTATGATAAGCGAACCCCGGGTCTTTTTAAGGTTGAGTGGGAGGGACAAGGAATTATCGGGTTGTGTTCAAAAACCTACTACTGTTTTGGGGCCAAAGATAAGTTTAGTTGTAAGGGTTTCAACAAGAAATGCAATGACATTAACAAAGATAAATACCTTAATGTCTTACTTACAAAACAGAATAGTGCCGGGGTGAATCGAGGGTTCAGAGTTGTAAATAATACTATGTACACTTATGAGCAAGTTAGGGATGCCTTTTCGTATTTTTACCCGAAACGTAAAGTTTTGGCTGATGGAGTTAGCACCACTCCACTCGAAATTTAAAGTGTTCAAGTTTGTAAAAAATGGATTTTGTAAATAATCATTTTCTCAACTTTGCATATATATTACTCTCAAAATAGTTTTCCGAAATATTTATATAAGATAGCCTCTAGTGGTAAATATTTTTTTTGCGTAGCTTTTTACGGATGTTTGTACATAGGAAATTAGTTTGTAAATAAATCATTGGTTGAATTTAATCGTGGCTTGTTTCCTGACTCGACGCGCACGACTTACACGCGAGATCTCCACGCGCGCTTAGGGGAAAAACACAGGGCTAAAAAGATGCCCTTTCTGCCCGATCTGCCCGATAAATTGTATGTTTCAAACAGTTTAGTTCAGTTTTAACCAACCTTTCAGAGGGGAAACATGAAGAGACTAAGATGTAAACATTGTCCGATTCCAGGTTGCGGGTCTAAATTTTTAGTTCGATTAGCAAATCATTTAACTCAAGTCCACGAGTTATCGGAAATAGAACGAAAATATTGGCTTCAATTTGCAAAATTACAAAATACCAATGCGATTTGTGTGTATGACAAGGAGGCTGAACCCAAAACAAATGAGAGTACGCACAAATCAGTTAATCAGTTGTGATCATGGACCCGAGATGGAAACATCCTTTCCCCGGGCTTGTGGCCGGCCCAACATGTTGTGGGAAAAGTCAGTTTGTAAAACGTTTACTAGAAGCAGGAGAAGACATGATTGATGGTGCCCCGGAAAATATCATCTGGTGTTATAGCATGTATCAACCAGCCTACGATGAGATGCTTAAAACTATTCCGAACATTATGTTTGTTGAAGGAGTGCCTGGTGATCTGGAAACCCTAATTAATCCCTCTATTCGGAATTTAGTCGTCATTGATGACTTAATGCACGAGCTTAGCAATGATCAGCAAATGACTAATTTGTTTACCAAGGGCTGTCACCATCGCAATCTCAGCGTGATCTTTATTCTCCAAAACATTTTTCATCATGGAAAAGAACTGAGAGATATGAGTTTGAATTCTCATTACTTAGTGGTGTTCAAAAGCCCGCGTGATAGCAGTCAAGTCAATCATTTAGCAAGACAAATGTTTCCCGGTCATGTCAAATACATGCAAGAGGCGTTCGAGGATGCAACAAAAAGGCCCTATGGATATCTATTTTGTGATCTTAAACCGGAAACACCTACCGACTTCCGGCTGCGTACGAATATTTTCCCCGGGGAGACTCAGTATGCTTACGTCAGAAAAGTATAAAAAGCGTGAACCACATCAAATTTCTTCAGTTGAGGATGGCACAGCGACTTAGAAAGAACCACGATTTTCTGAAACTGCTTGTCAAGTGTACACCAGCTCAACATAAAGCCATTTTGAAGGTGGCAGATGACGCTTTAGTAAGAACCATTTGTGAGTGTGTTTTAAATGTGCTTAAAGGAACAGTGCCTGTCAGTAAGCCAGCCAAGAAAAAACTTTTACCTCACAAGAAATCTTTGATCGCCTTATCTGAAAAACGTACACCACTCGATAAGAAAAAGAAATTGTTGGTACAACACGGAGGAAATTTTTTAAGTGTTTTGCTACCTCCCGTTCTCCGTGTGTTAAGTTCGATTCTTACCTAAAATGAATCACACAAAGCGTATGGTTCTCGTGCCTGAGAACACCTTGGAAAGATTACAGCAGCACCAGCAGATTTTAACCCCACCCGTCACACAAACTCTGAGAAACTTGGAGAGTGAAATGACCAATATTTTATCCAGTAAAGAACTTGATGATGAACAAAAAGCTAGGCTTTACAATCAAGTGTTGCAGCGGTACTTGACGTATTACGATCAGCGAAAAGGTCAACCTCTTCATGTGAAAATATCAACCCCCAAAGCAGTAGAAACACCTAAACCAAAAGAAAATGAACAACCTTCGGAAGAACCTGTCCCGGAAAAATTCACTCCATCAGCCGTAGAGGCAGAGGTCATGAAAAGTGTACCCAAAATTTACAAAGCTGGGGCTAGACAATTGTTGGATAAAATTAAAGAGCATCAAGATGTATTGCATTGGACTGATAAAGGAGAGCTTTTGTATGAAACCAAACCCATTCCAGGTTCTCATCTGGTGGACCTAGTCAACGACACATTGCGCCACCGCAAAGGATTTGAACCAGTAGGATGGTCGGTGTTTGCGAGGGGTCTGGCCCGAATGAATGTCCCGGAAAATCTAGTGTGTAATCCACAGAGGCAAAGTGCTGTTCGAGAATTTAAAGCAAGAGTGAGAGACGAAAACCCTAACAGTCCTTCCCGTTGGCTACCTAGCCCACCTGTGACGGTATCCCCAGTGAAAAAACAGCGGCGAAGAAATGCGAGTCCACGCCCTGAGGCTGTGCGCTGGTTACGGTTATAAAATCACCACAAGACACATTATTATTATTATTGTAAATCATCTCTTTATTTTGTTCACTCAATAAAAGATGTTGAAAAGAAATTACAAGGTGTTTATTTATTGAACTTTGTGCTGGGCTTGTGCTCTTTGCTTGTTTACATCAGTGCGATATTTCGGAAGACTTATAGGAAAATATTTTTCAATAAATCGCTTGACAAGACTATCATTTTTACGTGTGTTATTAGAAAAACGATGCACAATTGTACTCATACTTATTTGCCGACTACGATATAAAGCAAAATACAAACAGTAATGTCCGCAGACTTTGGAATAGATGCTCTGTAATGTCACAGTATTAAAAATCCACTGGTTAGAATTGTTGTTTAAAAAGGTAGTAAATGTTCCTGAATATTTGCTGGGAGGTGCTCCGTAAGAATCGAAAAATTCTCCCTCTTGCTCCCTGGCGAAATAAAACGCCACCCAATGTGAACCTGGCTTGTCACTCGTATCCACATTGGCGATGAATAGGGCTGGGTATTGCGAAACACTCGCAGGCAGCTTGTCTGAGGGATACACGCCTTGAAACATACCTCGTGTAAATTTATCCTTTCTCAAAATAAGGGTCAGTTGAATGGTGTCCATTTCTAGTTTGTGTAGTCATAGAGAACGTTTCGGTTTGCGTCGACCTCAGTCACGTTTTGAAATTCAGCGTAGACGATAAGGTTGACCGTGTTGGCGAGTGCTTCCGAGAAATGAAGCTCCAAGCGCAGGTTTCCTTGTTTTATGAGCTCAAATTCATCTCCCGGGCAGTGATCTGGGGTCAAATCAAATGCGAATAAGGTATAACCGGAGCCGTAATCACTTCTATTTATCTGATTGCTCATATCTTGGGAAAGGTTTCCAATATCAGAGAAAAGACTTTGATAGCCGGCTATCACATTTTGACCACCAGCGGCGTCAACCTTCAGGAACAAAGGTTTTCGGGGGATTTGTTCTCTGTCCACGTACACACCCACTTCAGTGAAATTGTGGTGATTGAAGTTGAAGGGGTTGGTACGGTAACTCCCATTGTAAGCCTCTGTGTCCACTAATCCCAATACTATGCGCTTGGGAATTTGACCCAAAAAGATGTTGTCAGGGTTAAAACTGCTAAATCCTCTTGGAATAGATAGCACTTTACAGTCGATTCTGCGAATGGGGTACTTGGCGCTGGAGTGTTTTAGCCCAGCTGCATGGCCTAGAATGATAGAAGAGGCAACCTTGACTCTGCGTACAAACAAGATGGCTTCTGTGATAACCACTTTGAAATTAGCTCCGGCTGCTGAGGACACAAGACAAAACACATTCTTGGCTCGGTTCAGTTTGATTCTTAAATTAACTCCATTGAGCATCAACCGGTCTTGAAAGAATATATCACTGTGAATGGGTCCCATCATATCCACCGTATGACTCTCTTTGGTAAACTCATAGCGAGCCTTTAATCCAAGGTTTGCTTCATCGTCTGCAGCCAAGGGGTTCACTACATTCATCTTTCCAGCAGTATCTTTGTAAAACATGGCCATAGAAAGTTGACTTGTTTTAGCTTCTTCTCCGTAGTTCAGCAAAGACTCGAGCATGGCGCGATAAGGGTAAGTATTAGTGGACGCAGATGTAAGTCGCTCATTCAAGCAAACGTCTACTTGTGAAAACAGGGAATGTAAAAACAGGTTTACGGGACCCACTTGTGTATCGGCATCTAACGCGGTTCCGTTTGCTTTCGTGATCTTAGCTTTCACATAAAGTTGTGTCCGCGCTAAATCTAAATATTCTTCTCGGGTTCCAGATACGTTAAATTCAATAGGACCAGTGTCCGTGATGTTGCTGAGAGGATGATATTCAATCCATTGCTCTTTGTGAATAGAGGTTTGTGTAGCAGGAATAGTAAAAAGATCCAGCTCTGATTTAGTACACTCGTGAGACTCGTGATGAACGAAGGCCATTCTATTCTTTATCAAAAATGGTTTTCGATTTCTTCTGCTGTGGAGATGTTTTTGCTTTCCTTCCTGGAGGCGAACTGATTGTTGAGCCTTGCGCTTTCCTTTTTATAGCTTTTTTGCCTGCACCTGACTATCCTTGCTGTGACTTCTGGGACGTCATGTTACCTATAGCTTGTTTAGCCTGTTTGCTGATTGCTGTTTTAATGTTATCTCCGCCAAGCACATCTTGGGCAACATTGACACCCGTTTGTAAAGCTTTTTTTCCAATCACCTTAGCACCTTGTTGCAGGTGAGGTATCGCCCAGTGGAACAGACCTTTAAATATGGATCCTAAGCCATAACCTCGCTGAAATCGAGCTCCGTGAAATGCAGGTAAATTTCCACCTTTTTGCTTGGCTTGATCTACATAGTACTGTTCGTAAAACTTATGATTTGGGGCGTGGAGTTTTTTTCATTTTTAAAAGTACTGAGGTTGACTCTGACTAAAATGAAGTGTTAACAACACTCTTCCAAACTCAAATGGCACAGATTCCCCTGTGTCTCGCTTTATATTGACTTCGATGGTTTCAAATTGCTTTCTGCTGACAGGTAAATATTGAGGGCGCACAAACGATTTACTGACTCGCTGACCGACCTCTCCTTCTACAGGAACAATTCGAAGCAAAGGGACCAGTGCATCACCAACATATTGTGACTGAATAAGATCACAGTAAACGAAAAGATCGTGAAAACCGTATTCCAAATCCACTTGTCTGTCGCCCGTGGTGGTCTTTGAAATAGTTTGTTCGCGAGTGAACCCCAGCATATAGGCCATACATATCATTTAACGAGACTTCTGCGTTGTTTTTCAAATGAACCGTAACCTTTCTGCTGAGATTATCGTATGAAAACCGTACATCATCTGTATACTGATTTTCATTGTCCACTAACTCTTTCATCTTTGATAAGATATCTTCAATGGAAGAATAATGACCCGAAAGCATCTCCAGGGAGTCCCAAACACCGTGGAGTTTTTCATTTCGAACGTAAAATCGTAAAACCGTTGAATATTATTCCAGCTATGCGGATAATGGATCTCGGTCAAAGCCACTTCCCATTCGCCTGTAAGGTGTAGGGTTTGTGGTAAACTAACTCGGTACTCTGTTAATGTGTTATGAGGAAATTTATCGAGGCTGCTATTGCTAGGGAGGTGCAGATAAAACTGTGTCACCTCCATCGTTTCGTGTGTTCAAATGAACTTTTTAATCTGGGTATTCTTAATTTATTAGAAACCACACACCATTCATTTTATTATTTCCTTTTCTTTTATTCACTAAATAAAAAACGCATAAATTACAACTTCAAAATATCACTTTCTTGAACCCAGGAATCAAATTTTGGGTCTTTGTATCCTTTCCATCTCACAAGATACTCTACTACTCCTTTACGCTTTCTCTTACGCAAAATCTTTTCAACGCGGTACACATCATCATTCTTAATAATTTTCTGCAATTCAGGCTCATAAAATGTTCCATCTAAGATTTTACCTGCATCATCTTTTAGTTTATAAACGGGGACTTGACGAGCCATTCGCTTGTAAACAGTAAAAATTTCTTCCGTGACATTAGGTAAGTACGATTTTTCAAACATTCTCTTTACTTTGCTGATCCTCACGCGATCTCCCACTTGAAATTTATATCGCACAGGCTTTTGAACATCATCCCCATACAAGTATCCCACACTTGAGCTTCGTTCTTTTTAGTTACCTGACTTGGTTTCATTTTAATACTTCGGTGGTAGGTGTTATTGTAAGAAGATACTAACTGAGGTAATACATTGATATAAGTGAGAGTG